GCTTAGTTGCCAACTGTATGCAGTTTCTGTTCAAATCCTTTGTCATTTTCTTAAAGAGTTTTTTTGTTTGTTTTCTTGCTATTGAGATTTGGGATTTTAAAAAAAATGTTATTCTGGATACAAGTTTATTACCAGATATATGATTGCAAATTGCAAATGTTTGTCCCCCACCATACCTGTGGCTTATCTGCTACACATTTTAACAGTGTTTTTTTTTTTTAAGAAAGTGAAAGTTTTAAATATTGATGTAGGACAACTTAGTTTTTTTCTTTTATGTATTGTGCTTTTGGTGTTGTATCTAAGGATTTCTTGCCGAACTCAGAGTCACTTTGATTTTCTTTTATGCTTTTTCTCATAGTTCTTTAGTTTTAGACATCACAATTATGTTTATCATTTATTTAGAATTAGTTTTTGTATGGTGAGAGGTGTGGATTGATGTTTACTTTCTTGCATTTGGAGATCCTTTGTACCTTTGCCCGAAATCAGTGTTTGGGCCTATTTCTGGACTATCTGGTCTGCTCCATTGGTCTGTTTTGTCTGTCTTTGCACCAGCTCCACCCTGTCTTGGTTATTCTCACTTTGTAGTACTGGTCTTTAAATTTTACTTTTTAGAAGTAAGTTTTGGATATTTGAGGTCCTTTCCATTTCCATATGGATTTTGGTATCTGCATGTCAGTTTGTTAAAAAAAATTTTTTTTAAATCCCCAGAATTGTTGTTTGGGATTATTATATTGAATCTATACATCAATTGGGAGAGCACCAATATTTTAACAGTATAAGTCTAATGGCCCATTAACATGGTGTCTTATTTCATTTATTTACGTCTTAAAAATTTTTTTCAGCAATATTTTGTAGTTTTCACTGTACAAGTCTTCACATTTTTTGTTAAACTTATCCTTAAGTATGTGGTTTTTTTTGATGCTTTAATAAATGAGGTTTAAAAAAAATTGTTTCCTTTTGTGACTAATGCAGTTGATTCTTGTTTATTTGTCTTGTTGTAGTGCAACCTTATTAAACTCACTTAGGAGTCCTGGAAGCTTTTATAGATTCCATCACATTTTCTACATAGATTATCATGTCATCTGTTAATAGCAAGGTTTTACTTCCTTTCCAATTTGAGTCTCCTTCCCTACCTCCCTCCCTGCCTCTCTCCCTCCCTTCCTTCTCTCTCTTCCTTCCTTTTTAATTTTTCTTTCCCCCTCCC